ATTTTACAACATTGTTCATATTTGCTTTTAACGTGTTAAACTCGGTTAACGCTACATTATTTGTGTTAAAAGTGATATGAGTATATACCATATGAATAATATATGATTTTCTATTTCTTTAATGTTTCACAAGATTAAAACTTTTGATGCAATATAAAGTTTTCTGATAACAGCGCGAGTATGGTTGCTGTATGTGCGACTTTCGGCACCTGTAATTGCTACGTTTAACTTCTGTTCTGTTTCATAAGGTGCAACGTTTTACTGCTGTATCATAATATAAATGTATTGTTTTCAGTGAAATACATGTACATTTAAATTCAATATCGACACATCAGATAGTGCAACGTCCGTGAATAAACCCCAAAACATACGCATCCAAGTCGAGGATTGGTTGCTTCCATCAAATATTTAAAATGTATTGCATATATATACCCCCCCCCCCCCACCACCACCACCACCACCAACATAAATTGTTCTATTGTGTAAAAAAAAAATAAGGGATTAAAATATGCTAAATTCTTAAAAATCATGAACTTGTTTTACTACAATGTGTCACTGAAGTATATGTTCATTAAGACTCTATCCCAAAGTTCAATTTTAATAATTCCAGATTCATGTTGTGAGTCATCTTCGATTGACTATATAGAACTTTAAAGTTTCAAACTTTGTATGCATGCAGAAGAAACAAAAAAGACCTTGGAACACCACCACCCCAGGAAAAACGATTGACCTCTCTTTAATAAGAATGGGAGTCATGACCCTACATGTATTTGAAGGGAATAGACGTTGATGCTTGTAAGAGTGTTTTACTTTTATATCCCCTCCATGAATATTTTTAAACTTTGACTTGGAAAAATGACATGAACAGGCATAAAGTATTTCCGATAATTAACTCGTATGGAATAATTATTTTAATATCTCAACAAAATTTTCTCATATTTGAATGATATAAAGACACCCGTCCATTTATTAAACATGCAGACCCGTGACATTATTTTTCGATGTATATGTAGGAAGGATGAGGGTCGCAGGTGATTGACAATCCAACAAATAATGTCCAATATCGGAAGAACACAGCTCCAGAACTGTAGTGTTAACTTATGGTTTCATGTTTTCATCTTTGAATATAAAGACAAATATAAACCCTAAACGCTGCCGTTCTGCAGCTAGGAAGAACAGTCCTATTTTATCGTGTGTTGGGAACCTTTCTCTAACTAGTCCATTTTCCACAACGGCCATCTTTGCTATCCAAGGGTTTCTCATACGCTACTTTCCTCATAAGCTGGGGAGAGTAGCGTATTAGAAACCGTTGGCCAGCGAAGATGACAACGGCTGGATATGCGAACTTACGGTTAGCTGCAGAACTGTATTTGTTTGAAGTCGGGAGAGCTGGAAAAATGTATACCGGTATTTATTGTGTACAAAAGTGCGCTGCTTCTCCCAAATAAATTCCTTTACAATTTCCACTTACTATTTCAACAACAAACAATTGTTGTAAATAACCCTCCATGAAATTGAGACCATCCAATTTCGCATTTTTACTGTCACTTTTAAGACGACAAGAGACAAATCGTTTCAATTGCAACACGCTTCTTGAAGAAATCTAGAGGTCATGATTTTTTCAGTTTTTGTGCAGTTCAGATAAGAATTTGGAGGAATTAATCCAGTACCAATCGCAGCTGTTGTGCGCAATCTTTAATAGATTTTTGTTTGGGTGGCACTGTAGCGCTTCGATCGTCTATCTCATTTTTTTCTCAGACCAGCGAGTTACAGAAATGCAGCTACCTTACAGTTTCAAAAAAAGTTTGGGGGGGGGGGGCATGTCTAGATAAAAAAATATAAACAAAAATAAAAACTAAACCAAAAGACTACTTTCAGAAAATAAAGTACATCCAAACTTGCGTACTACTTACCTGAGATGTAACTACATGCAACACAATTCTAAGGATGCTAACATCGTGCTTTGAATAAATATAAATTGCTTTAAAGAGTTTGATCGCTTAATCACGACATTCGTATTTGTATACCTGGTGCAGTTTTAAATTTTTTGGTAACATCATCTTGCTCATTTATACCATATCACTCTATTTAAAAGTAACAAAAGAATATAACCAAAACACAATATCCTTAAGAAGAATCGATGGAACATTTTGTATAATAATTGCTTCAAGAAATGGTCAGAAATGACTATAAACTACAAAAACTATTATTCTTTTCATGCAATTTTGAATAATTTCATAATATTCACGTTAAGGAACATAAACCAATAGTTTCAGAGACGTAAACCAGTTGTAGCATTTACATAAATCAAAAGTCGCCTGTGTCAAAATTTTACAGAAACCAATTGTAGCACCTACAAAATGAATTTGCTAGTTATTGACTAATTCCATGGAAATAATTCATTTAATTAAAGCACATTTTTTGTGTCCAGGGCATTAAATAACGTTGAATTATAGTTAAATTTACCCACTTAGCTGTCCAATCAGTCCTGTAGCACTTAATGCATCATTCGAATGCGAGTACATGAAAAACACGATATAAACAGCCATTTACATGTTATGTTTCGATATTGAGAATTTTTGGGGGTATAAAAGCAATCCAATTGCGTAACTTTTTAATAAATTTGCTCTCTAGAAAGTGATTTTTATTGTTTTATATCAGTACATTGAATTTGTTGAATGTAGAAGATCGGGTAAGACAACTCAGATTAAATCATGTTTATAATATATACCATGGCTATGCGCCATCTTACTTATCAGAAAATTTTACTCTAAGATCAGCTGTATCTTCTCGCAATACCAGAGCAACCTCTAATGAAGATTTTTTTATACCTCATGTGAAAACATGTCAAACAGACACTTTTTATTATAATGACATAAAGGACTGGAATTTTTTACCAGCCTCTATTAAGTGTACTAAAGGAAAGAGTACTTTTAAGAAACAAGTAAAGAGTTTTATCTTACAAAAAGGCATTTTAGAACATGAAAGTGATATGTTTCAGTACTAGTTTATAAAACATATTTTATATTTTATTTATAATGTCAATGTTGTCATACTTAAACCTAATTTAAATGTGTATGCTAAAATTATTGTGCCAAAAGTATTATAGTGCTCTAATGATGGAATACTCATTACAATGTATTGCTATTTATTCTTTAAAGTTATTTAAGATAGGACCCCATTGGAAATAAGCTCTCGAGCTTTAATGGGTTATCCTGGTATCTATCTAGTCATGTTAAATTATTTATTTATAACATCTTGATCACCAACTTTCAACTGTAACACGATCAAGTATAATTATGTGTATTTGTTTTATGTATGATGACATGATACCAAATAAATACTACTACTACTACTTCTAGCTGGTGTCCGAAACCAAGATTTTCTCGATTCGCACTTTACCAGCAGTGATTTATGGTTTAAATGTCTATGATTTGGTTGGCTGAACATAGCTTGTCAGAGTTTACAAACACGTCCATAGGATTTTTTTCAGTTAGTTTGAAAGTGTGAGATTGTAACATTTTTGTCCGTTTTTCCTAGGGGTACTATAACATAGTAATGTTTTACAAAAAATAAACACCTTATATATTTAATGCATATAGATGCATGATACGTGTACATGTACATTATAGGCTATAGAATAGAAAATTAGAATTGATTTCGCTCGAGAACCAAACTGAACCAAAATTAATCTATTTCAAAATTTTAATATATCAGTACATAAAACGAAACTGACAAAATAAATGGTTGTTTGCATGAAAAAAAAAAACGCCCCATGCCGGGCTCGAACCAAAAACTTTTCGATTCCACTGCATGCACTGAACATGTATCCAAACTTACTGAGCTATCACCGCTACACAAAGAAACACCACATTCACACATTTGGATTTTTTTGGGAAAAGTTCGTTTTTGTGGTCTCTGGGTCTTCTCTCCATTTTTAAAAAAAGTGTATTTGTTTCTTTGAATTAAAATACACACAAATAACATTTCAAATTCATGGAGAGAAGACCCAGAGATAGAAAAATTTTAGAAAAGCGTGTTTTAAAATGTACCATTTTGTACCAAATGTCTGATCTGGCCAATTTTGAAGTTATTTTTTAGCAAATCAAAGCTCAATTTCGGGAAAATATTGTCCTTTGCTGTTGCACAGGAACCCGATAAATAAAAAAAATGTTAAAATTTCATGTGACATGTCGATAAAATTTTCACTTTTCAATTACGCCCAGATTCCTGCCGAATGCCAATCAAAAGCGCCCTCGTTCTTTCTAATCATGACTCCTAGGGGTAGGGTGCGGCAACAATTTGGAATCCAAGTTTTAATGGAAATATAGAGGAATTTTTTCCTCAATAACTACTGGGCCAGAAAAGCCAAAATTTATTTGAAAGCATCCTGGGGTAGTGTAGATTCTAAATTGTGCAAATTATTGCCCCTGGGGGGGGGGGGGGGGAGGGGGTAGGGCGGGGCCACAATAGCGAACCAGAATTTTACATTAAAACGTATAGTAAAAATCTTTCAAAATATTCTTCTCACGAACTAGTGCCAGAGGAGCTGAGACTTTTGCAAAAGCATCGTGGGGTAGTGTATAGTTTAAATTGTCCCAATTATGACCCGTTGGGTATAGGGTGGGGTCTCAAAAGGTATTACAAGGGGAAATCTTGTAAAGAATGTGACATGGTCAAAGCTATTCAGGTGAGCGATGTGGCCCATGGGCCTCTTGTTTTGTTTAGGTTTTTTGTTATAAAACACATACTGTAATATCGTTGTAAGATAACACAGATCACTTCTAATTTCATTCATTTTTGTGCTTCGTGTGGTACAAATGTCAAAATTTTACAACAACATTTCTAAGAATTCAAAGAATTTTGAATTATATCGAGATGAGAAATAAAGTTTTTAAAAATAATCATTTGAAGTTTTTATATATGTTGATTTTCTATTTTATTCGTATATTGGTACCCTTGCAAATGATGGGGGGGGGGGGGGGGGGGGAGGGGGGGTTGGCGTTTGGGTCATATAGGAATCAACTTATCAGTCCGTTTGTCTGTCTGCACGTGCAATCTTTTCCAGGCTATAACTTTGTAATGTAGAATCACTGGAAGGTCATGCTGATACAAAGATTGATTATGATCTAAGAATGAGTTTTGGGATTAAACAATGGCATTTTGTCTATTCGAGGTCATAAATAAAACAATGAAAGATTTGTCCGGGCTATGACTTTGTAATGGAGGTTCATTGGAAGCTCGTGCTTAGTATACAGACTGTTTTTGAACAGAGAAAGTGTTCGATTTATTGTTTTCAAGTAATCATGTTTAAACTTTGTAAATCATAAACCAACAATTATAATATATACACTTAGAAACATACAAAACTACGATAAGGGCTCAGTCAATGGGGCGTTGGGTCAATCATCATATGTAATTATGAATTAATGGTATTTTTATGCCCCCGTAAACGAAGTTTCGGGGGTATATAGTTTTTGTCGTGTCCGTCTGTCTGTCTGTCTCTGTTTGTCTGTCAGTCCGCAAAAACTTTAACCTTGCCCATAACTTTTGATTTAGTGGAGCTATGGCATTCATATTTCACATGTGTATTCCTTTAGACAAGACCTTTTTTTGGGTACCACTAAATTTGACATTTTGACCTTGACATTGGAGTTTGATCAACTTTTACACAAAAATTTTGAACTTTTACTTTGGCCATATCTTTTGAACTGTAGATACCAGGGTATTTATACTTAAGTTGTGTATTTTTTGTAAGAAGACCTTTCATTGGATAGCAACAATCTTGACCTTTTGACCTTGACCTTATAGATTTCCATACTTACGAAAAAATTTTAACCTTGGTCATAACTTTTGAACGGTAGGGGCTAGGGCTTTCATACGTCAAATATGTAATCCTTGTGAGAAGACCTTTGATTGGATATCAACAACTTTGACCTTGACCTTGGAGTTTGACTTTCTTTTTACAAACTTTAACCTTGGCCATAACTTTTGAACAGTAAGGACCAACGCTTTCATACTTACCATATATGTAATCTTTGTGACAAGGCCTTTCTTTAGAAACCAACAACCTTGACCCTTTGACCTTGACCCAGAGTTTGTCCTTCCTTTAAAAATGTTAACCTTGGTCATAACCCTTGAACAGGTGGTGCTAGGGTTTTTTTTATTTCACATATGTATTTCTTCTGAAAAGGCCTTACTTAAGGTACCAACATATTTGATCAGCATTGGAGAAAGCTTAACCTTCGCTATGTTGCCATACGGGGGCATCGGTGTTTCACAAACACATCTTGTTTGAAGGTGGTATTGATAGGGCCACTTTATATATATAGCTGCATCTTATAGTGGAAATTCAGAAACAACAGGATGGAAGAAGTCTTTAAAATTCTGTAAAGAAAAAGGGACATATTTACTGGGAAACATAAGTATTAACAATGCATCAGCTGCTTGTAAGATCATCAATAATCCGCGGTCTGGACTTACCTGGATCGGAATTCTAAGACAACCAGTCCTTGTTGGCAGTGAAGGTATGTTGTGAAATAAAGAAATGTCATTGATTAACTTATTAATGCATATGCAATATGTATTTCATAATAGGCTAACCCCCCCCCCCCCCCCCAACCACCACCACCAAAAAAATAATTATATATGAATCGATATGTATACATAAAATTATTAATGACGTTATACTTTTACCAATGAAGATGACTTTGAAGGTATTATAGAGGAAAATGTTCTACAGTGTCAAAGGTGTTCGAAAGGAGGATGTGAGTTTAAAGACTGCAACAAAGAGGCTTTTGCTGTATGTAAACAGGTACAGAAATGTTTGATTTGCATAAAATGATAACTGAATCATATTTTAATTCGTACGTCGACTCGACATATCCTAGTGAACTTGAAATAAGACCCATAGAGTCTGCCACGTCTGTTTCATATCATTTGATTTAGTGACTATAGACGATAAAGGAAAACTGACAACTACTACTATAATATTCCACTATCATCTGATTTTGGTGTTTATGTTTTCAACTTTATCTCTACCCAAGAGCTTGCGTTGAGTACGATCGAGAGAGAGAGAGAGAGAGAGAGAGAGAGGATATTCGCCTTATAACTTGATGTTACAGTATTTCAATACCTTGTTTAAATTAAGCCGTTATTTCGTAAATTCTATATTCTTTATATTAACTTTGTTAGTTAATACATCCGATCATTGGGTCAATAATTGGCTAATTAGTTTCATACCAAATTTTACGCCTTTATTTTACGCTGAATTTGACAATAAAATGTTCCATGTATCTAATCAATACAAAGATTTTACGGCGGGTGTGGCCGGTGTCAACAGGGGATGCTTACTCCTCGTATGTACCTGATTCATGGGATCCCGTGGCTCAAATATTATGTCTCCTCCACATTAAAAAATATATAATCATGGGCTAAGCGATGCGGCCTTCAGTTTTATACGTTGATCTATAATTGCTTTAGTACTTTTTTAATTCCTAAAATACACCATAAGTGTTTATACGTTTCAGACGGAATATTCTTTTATCTTTCTTTGCAAAGAATCCAGAAGAAGTATCCATGACCGAGTTTAGTACACAAACAGCAACAGAAAGTTACACTGAGTCTGAGAGGTCGGATTTGAACAGTACAAACATCACATCAAAGAATTCATCAGAAGTATCCATGACCGAGGATAGTACACAAACAGCAACTGAAAGTTTGGATTTGAACAGTACAAACATCACATCTAACCAATCAGGTAGAAAGTACAAACATTACGCCTATTTGAAGCACAGTATTTGTTATATTTGTGATGTGAATTACGTTTAATAAAGCGCTTTTTTAAACGCGTTGGAAGTATTGACTTAACTCTTCTAATAGGGTTACAGAATCATTAGTGCCTTATATTTTCCTACTTGAAATCTGCTTAAAAATTAAAGACTTACCTTTTATTTAAATGAAAGAAGGACGCTGTTAATATATAGGCACCGGATTCGAATTAAAAAAAGGGGGGGGGTATTTGGAAGATAATGTAGAATGAAGTTTGTTTAAGTTTGTTTAAGTCGTGACCACTTCGGGTCGAACCAAAAAAAAAGTACTCAAAATATTAAATAAGTGTATGTAGAAAAAAGTGTCTGCTGAAAAAGAACAGAAGGGTCATAACTACTCAGGTAAGCGACGTGGCGCGTGGGCATCATATTTTTCTGCCATACATGTATATCAACTTTATTTACTAATTTTATTCTTTATTTTAGGGGCGGACAAAAGAGAAATAATTATCACTGTGTCTACAATTACCACCCTTCTTTTGATCCTCTTTCTTTCTGCATTCTGCTTTGTAAGGTAAGGACCAGAATGACACAAACAAGAGGCCCAAGGGCCTTGAATCGCTCTTCTGATAAATTGTACAACCTATCACTTGTATTTGAAGCCTCTAACCCTAAGTATCCTAAAACCTAAGTTGCATCAACTGATAAAAAGTTTGATGATTCTTAGCCAATTAGGACTGAAGATATTTTAATAAAGCTATAAAAAAAA